CCGCACGCCCCGCGCAGGCGCCCGCCCGGCTCGCCGCCCACACGACCCCCGCCCCCAGGCGCCGTCCGCTACTCACCGCTCGCACGCCCTCAGCGCGCCGCCGACCCTCGCAGAGGCTCGGCAGAAGCTCTCCGCCCTACGCCTGCGCCGCGTTCTGCGAGAAGGCCGTGGAGCCGGCCCCGGAGCTGCCCCGCGCGGCCGAGGGAAGGCTGCCTGAGGCGGGGCGCCGTGAGGGCGGGGGTGGGCGGGCGCCTCCCCGGGCCGCTACTCTGGGGCTGCACAACCGCTAGCGGGATGGCGGGTGTGCTTATGGTTCCACTCCGTGGCTGTGGGCAGGTCGGTTTCGGTGGCTTCCCGCGCGCGGGGGTCGCCGCCATTTCCTCAGCGCCCCCCGCCGCCCCGCCTCCTCGAAGCCGCTGCGCGCGCGGGCTGCGCGGTGGGCGTCTCGCCCCGGTGACGCGCGGAGAGACCGGGAGACGGGCTCCTGGAGCTCAGGTGCGAGTTACCCCGGAGAGGTGGGGACGGGGTAGCCCGGGCGTTAGGGCCGCGCCCTGAGGGCTGCGGTGAAGGTAGCCCCGCCGGGGAGCCGGCTATGCCCTCCCCTCCCCGCCGGGGAAGAGCGGGCCGCAAGGGGGCTCTGGGGCGGGAGGTTCGCTCTTCACTCACAAGGCTTTTCAGAGAAGCCATGGGATTTCTCTGTGTTTAGATGGCTGTCGCAGTGCTTATGGCTCATCTGGTAAAGAATCTGCCTGCAATGTGGGACACATGGATTCAGTGCCTGGGTTGGGAAGATCCCCTGGAGAAGGGAAAGGCTACCCACTCCACTATTATGGCATGGACTGCCACGAAGAGTCAGACTGAGCGACTTTCACTTCACTAATTAAGGGGCTCCCCCACTAATTAAGGGGCTTCCCTCAGAGCTCGGTCGGTAAAGAATCTGCCTGCAATGCGGGAGACCCGGGTTCGATTCTTGGGCTAGGAATATCCTCTGGAGAAGGAAATGACAACCCACTCCAGTATTCCTTCCCGGAGAATCCCATGGACAGAGGAGCCTGGCGGTCTGCAGTCCGTGGGATTGCAAGAGTCGGACACGATTTAGGGACTAAAGCACCACGCAGTCCTTAGGGGAATGGATCGGATAGAAGAAAGACTGGTTCTGAGTGGGTTATAATAGACAGCAAGAGAGATGGATGTGGTCAGCAGCCCCGTCGGGGGTCACTGAACACCGTGTCCTGAGACGACAGGTCTTGTAGTACAGGACAGGGGTGGAGGTAAGAGGAGTAGCGGGGGAGGGGAGGGACCGCGTCTCTGGAGGCTTCTCTCAGGAAGCAGAGTAAACATCTGGCGGTCATCAGGAAGAGCCTTTCGGTAGGGTGAGTTTTGTTTTGAACATTCAAGAGCACTTAATCTGACACTTGGGCCATTTAACAGATGGGGAAGCTGAACCACTGGAATTACGCATCAAGTTAACGGGCTTGTCTGAACTTGCAGCTGTTGGAAGCGGAGCTCCAGCTTGAATTCGGTTCCAGTCTGTTATTCTTGCAACTTGAGGCAGGTACCTTATCTTAAAAGTTAGGAGACCACAGTGGGAGGTTCACTGGAGACGTAGATCGCAGAGGTGTTGTTCAGTCCGTAAGTCATGCCCCAGTCTTTATGACCGCATGTACTGAGGCCTGACACCAGGCTTACTTGTTCTTCCCTGTCTCCCTGAGTTTATTCAAATTCATGTCCATTGGGTCAGTGATGTCATCCAACCATCTCACCCTCTGAAGCCCCCTCCTCCGTCGTCATATCCTCAGTCTTTCCCAGCATCAGGGTCTTTTCCAATGAGTCAGGTCTTTACATCAGGTGCCCAAAGTATTGGATTTTCAGCATCAGCATCGGTCCTTCCACGGAATATTTAGGGTTGATTTCCTTTAAGATTGACTGGATTGATTTCCTTGCTGTCCAAGGGACTCTCAAGAGTCTTCTGTAACACTACAGTTCAAAAGCATCAATTCTTTGGTGTTCAGCCTTCTTTATGGTCCAACTTTTGTCTGCAAAGCTCTGTAGACTTGTCATAGCTTTTCTTCCAAAGAGCCAGGGCCTTTAAATTTCATGGCTGCAGTCACCATTCGCAGTGATTTAGGAGCCCAAGAAAATAAATTCTGCCACTGTTTTCATTTTTGCCCCATCTATTTGCCATGAAGCAATGGGACCAGATACCATGATCCTAGTTTTTGAATGCTGAGTTTTAAGCCAGATATTTGAGAAGGGTGGAGGCTTTCCAATATGTCCCCACTAAGGTGGGAAGACTAGGTCACACGGGAAGAAAGGAACCCAAAAGTGCAGACAATGCCCACAGGTGCTGGCTTTTCAGACTGTTAGTTCGGTTTCCCACTTTGGGAAGTGGCAGGGTGGAGGGGGGGAATTCAGGGGTGAACTTAGAAGTGTAAAATCACTGGCTTTTCTGGGTCTTAGAGGGCGTCAGTTCACCTTTTCTTGCAGTTGTGGCTGCCTTTGGGGGCTGGCCACTGAAACAGCTGAGTTGGAATTAGACTAAGAATTGGTCTTGATCTGATTGACCCCTCACACCCTGAACCCACACATGCTTTCAAGAATCATTCCTCCCTGGCAGATAGTAGCTGGTTTAGAGCAGGGACTCTGCCTTGTTCATTCCAGAATTCCTCATGGCTAGGTGCTGTGTTTGGCAAATTGGAATGATGTACTTTGTATCTGCAGAACTGATCATCGTTTGAGTCTTTAGGAAAATTATCTTGAGTTTCCAGGGCTAACAGCTGGAGGTGGGAGCAGAAAATGATGCAATTCAGAGTAGATTTTAAAAATTTAAGTCTTAAAAAATAAATAAAAATTTAAATCTGAAAACTTGGTTGTATCTTTACAAGTTTATTTCATACTTATCTTTTGTATACCTGCTGATCTCCTAATCATGCAAGAGTTTCAGCTGTCCTTTAAAATAATATTTGTGATAAAAGGAATATTTAAGTGAATTCTAGTAAATCAGACTTTTCCATGATATCTTTTTAACCAGTTGATGAAAGAGTAGGTAAAAGTCATGTTTTCATTTTTCATTAGAAATCATTTCTTACATCCAAGCAGCATTAAATAGTGTAATTTTGTAGTTATACCCGTAGTGCTAAAGCATTTTTTTTTTGGCTTATGCATTTATTTTGGCTCTAACAGTAGATGGGTTGCTTATCATTGTTTTGTTTTGAGGTTTCTTTTGTTTTTGTTTTTGTTTTTTTGGTTGTCGTTGTTATAGCATTATTGAGTTTTATTTTGGTAAAAATTTTAATTGAAATATAGTTTATTTACAGTGTTTCAGGCATAGGGGTTGCCTGCTGACAAACATTGTGTAGCATTTATGAATTTTATAATTCTAGTATTTTTATCCTTCCAAGGGAAATTGTTTTAGAAATTTGTCAAAGTAGAAAGCTGAAAAACTCCTTTTACCTTTCTGTTTTCTATCCTAGTAGTGTGTAGGGTTTTGTTTTTTTTTCAATAGTAACCTTTTAAGATCCTTTTCCAATAAATAGCAAGTTATTTCCATGCTTTTGTCATGTGTTAGTACTTCTGTAGACTATTGGTTTTTTGTCATTAGTTTTATTGAGGTATAATTTATGTATAACACAGTACACATTTTAATAGAGTTTTGACAAATGTATACAATCCTTATAACCAGCAACCCAACCAAGATTTCTGCTATCCCCAGGATTCCCTTTTCTCTTTTGTGGCACTGGCTGCTTCCCATCTGCAGCCTTAGGTAGCCAAGGATTTTCTATCCCCTACAGATTATATTTGTCTTTTTTATTGTATTTCTGGAGTCCACATGCCAGCAATAGCAAGCTCCTCTGTGCAGGGCCAGTTAGAAACATACAGTGTGCGCTCCTTTCTGTCTGACTTCTCAGGCTTTAAGATTATCCTTAATGACTGTGTTGATTGTGTATTTTGTTGGTAATTCATTCCTTTTATTTTTTTTAATTGTGGTAAATGATACAAAACTAAATGTTGCCATTTCTAACCATTCTTCTGTGTCCACTTCAGTGGCATTAATTATATTCCCATTGTTGTGCAACCGTCACCTCTATTTCCAAAGCTTTTTCATAACCCCAAATAAACTCTATAGCTTTTAAGCAGTAACTACCCACTCTTCTATCCCCTCAGCCTGGTAGCCTCTAATCTACTTTGCTTCTATGAGTTTGCCTATTCTAGACATTTCAGATGAGTTGCATCATACAATATTTGTCCTTTTGTGTCTGGCTTATTTCACTAAGCAGTGTTTTCGAAGTTCATGTTGTTGTATCTATCAGCATTTTCCTTTTGACTGAGTAATTTTCCATTGAACAGACATACTTTGTATGAACATAGGTTTTCGGTTCTCTTGACTGTATACCTAGAAGAGGAATTGCTGGATAATATGGGAATCCGAAATTTGACTTTTTGTGGACTCACAGGGCTGTTTTCTATAGGGCTGTACCCTTTTACATTCCTGCCTGCATCGGACAAGGGCTCCAGTTTCTCCCAATCCTCTGCAACACTTGTTATTATAGCCATCTTAGTAGGTGTGGAAGGACTGTTGGTTTTTCATAAGATACATAAGCATAGACTGTTGCTACAAACTTGGTAGGGGAATTAATGAGTGTAATTGTATATGTTCCAGGAGGATGGGCTGAGGCAAGTTCTGCAGGAGATGAAAGCTTTAGACGAGCAAAACCTACCTGATGTGTAAGTTGGTAAGTTGATATTTTAAAACAGTTTAAGAAATATGATATTGATGTCAGATCATCTTAACATTAGTTTTTAGATATGATTTTTTTTTCTTTTTTTAATTCTCTGTGAGCCTGGTCATACCCTAGCTATACAGAAGTAGAAGGATTTGTGTTAATAATTGTTATGTTTCTAGGGACGAAATAGTGCTTGGCACATGGTAGATGTTCGATAAATACTTCTTGTTTGACTGGTGTGACTTGAAAGGAATTAGGGTGGATCCAAAAGAGATGATCCAGGAGCAAGTAACAGACCTAATGAGTGAAGTGCATTGTTTCCACTGCTCGTTTTCATCAGGTGAGGCCTTAGTGGGTTTAAAGGGAGAACAGGCAGCTTGCAAATTTAGCAGGAGTAGCAGAGACTTGCAAAAGCTTGACTGAAGTTGGCTGGGAACTCGTGCGGCAGAACACTACAGCTTGGTGGGCTGGAAGGTTCTGGAGTTGCAGACTGTTTAGAGCCAAGCGTGGGAGTGGGCACAGAGGAGAATTTGAGCTGAATGACAAACTGCAGAGGACCTGTGATTGGGTGAAGAATGAGACACAAGACTACTGACTGCTGGAGGAAAAATGAGTTATTGAGAGCTCATCCTGGAGAGAAGTCTGTCTGCAACTTGAGATTTCGTCCCTGGCCTTGTTAGGTAGTGTTTTCATCAGTTAATTGGGCATAGAAATCAGTAGCATGTTGTTAGGGTGTGTGGAGTACACAGAACAGTAGGAACACTTTGCAGTGACTGTGTTACTGATGATGAGGAACTGATGTGCAAGAGGTCTGCGGTAAATGTAAGGGAAATGGAAAGTCCTGCACTCAGGTTCCCAAGTCCTTCATTTGTTCCTGCCACTCAGCAGTTAGGAGCTGATAAAGGGCTCTGGTGTTTCAATTGTAAACAGCAGAATCAAGAGGTTTGCCCCCATGGCCCTCAACAGTGTCATGCAGAAGGCAGGTGTTAAATGCGGGTAAAGCGGGTCAGAGTACCTGCTGTGAAGGAAAACACCATACTGGGAGGAGAGTCATGCTCTGAAAATATTGGTAGATTGTGAAATCTGGGAAATTCTCTCCGAGGAATAGACTCTTCAGCTGGAGCCTGAAGAAGCAGGTTTTAGCGAGGAAGTAACTGTGGGCAGAGAGCATTCTAGTTGGAGGAAACAGCATGTGCAAAGGCCCTGAGTCTTGAAAGAGGGTGGGATGCCCAGGGACCTGGGCCTTCCCAAAGGCCAGTGTGGCTGGAACTTAATGAGCAGGCAGAGAGCAACACCAGGGGAGATTTCTAAGCATGTGGGGCAGGTGGTGGCATGTTTGTGTTCTAAGGACGACCCTGGCCGCCATGTGGATAGTGGATGGTGGGATCGAGAGGGAGGATGGTGGTCATGCAGGCGACAGGAGAGGTGAGCCAGACCAGGGGAAAGGAGAACAGTTTACACACCTGTTTAGGAGGTGACTGAACAGGCCTTGGTCCAGTAAGGGAATGATTTTCCTCTATTCGTACCATGGGGAAATTCATGATCCAAAATTCTGTGCTGTATCCTCCTAGTTTGGTTCTGGGCAGGACACCACCATTACCAGTTTCTGGTTAAAATTCTTTGTCAGAAGAAATATATTCCTATTTAATTGCTCACATGGAAATGGGAATTTTTTTAAGGAAGTTCTTGTGTACTGAATCAAGTACTTTGATGTTATGTTGGGTGTATTTTATTTGTGCTATTCATTATAATCAAGAGCACATTGTAAGCAGTGTGGAGAATAAATCTAATGTTTCTAGAATGGCAGAAGTATCTAGAACAGATCTAGAAGACATGGTACATCTATGTACATGGTACAGATCTAGAAGACACAGGACATATATTTTGCCTCTATTTTCAGGGTCTAGAGCAGGCACTTATATTTTGTATTTATCTGTTCCCTTTTAACACTCTAAAGTAGATATTTATTAGTTCTGTACATCTGGTTTTGTTTTGTTTTGTTTTTTTCTTTTTAACTATGGTTAAGATACACACCAGATAGCTCAGTGGTAAAGAATCTGACTGCCAAAGCAGGAGATGCATTCCCTGGGTCGGGAAGATCACCTGGAGAAGGAACTGGTGACCCACCCCAGTTCTCTTTACTGGAAAATTCCAAGGACAGAGTAGCCTGGCAGGATATAGTCCATGGGGTCAGAAAGAGTTGGACATGACTGAGTGACTGAGCACACATACAATTCAATGTATTCTAAACATTCATAGTGTCATATAGCTATCCCCACCACCACCTTCTCTAGAACTCTTCATTTTGCAAAACTGAAACACCATACCCAGTAAACAATTGTACATCTGATTGGAAAGGGTGAGGCTTGTCTGATATCTAAGGAGACACATATTTTATAGGGTAAAGCCAAAATTTCCTCCCTCTCTGTGTAAAGGACCCTAAAGTACAAACATGCACAGAGTTGAAGATAAAGAACTATTTCTTGGATGAGTGGAGGAGCATTTGACTTTAGAGTCCTTTGCTCACTTTATGGGAATGAGGATTTGAAAGTATTGATATTATAGAAAGAGGACTCCGTAGGATGAAAGCATGATGTGAGGCCATAATCTTATGCACCGTGATATTTGATCTCTTATCCCATCATGAAAAAGGGATTCTAAAAAGTGAGGCAAAGATTATCTTTTGGAGACAGTGGAAATTAATCAGTGTACAAAACCCAATGTGCCACATGGCTAAACAAAAGAATGGGAGTGTGATCCTAGGCAAATTAGTTAGGTATTTATTTATTTATTTAATTTAAGTTTGTGCACACAGCTTGCAGGATCTTAGTTCCCTGACCAGGGATTGAACCTGTGCCCTCAGCAGTGAAAGTGCAGTGTCTTAAACATTGGACCACCAGGGAATTCCCTGACCCTTTTCTGTTTTATCCTATTAGCAAAAGCTCTGATATGGAGGCAGGTAGGTTAACTACTAACATAAATGGCTAACAACAAGCATGGACTCAGTTGTTAGCTGGCTTTGAAAATTTGACTTGTTCTCAATAGACATTCTTTTCCTTAAATGTTTTACCAGGAATAACGCAAAGTCAAGTGGACGAGATGATTTGATCACAGCCATCAAGTTTCGACACTGTTCTTTGCTAAGAAGTCAGCGCTGCGCTGGAGCCTGCCTGTGAGCTTCTGTGTTTGCGCGGGTGGCAGGGGTGGGGGGGGTTCCCGTCCCGGTGGGTGTCAGAAATTCTTGGCAATGTCTCTCTTCTATGAGCATTCTGAATTTTCTCTTTGTTTCCTTTTAAACGTGTTTTATTATGGAAAGTTGCAGTATTCTTAAACTAGGGAATAATATTACAGCCCCCCATGGAGCGATCATATAGGTCAAACAGTTCTTAACATTTGCCATCATCGCTTTTTCTTGTTTTATGTGTCTAGGCTAAACATTGGGCATTTTCCACTGAATAGTTTTGTGTGCATCTTTAAGAAATAAGGACCTCTGGGGCCTTTTCTCACTGTATAGTTGACCTGTGACCACTGTGTAATTCTCCTGTCTAGAGCAGTGACCATCCCTTCACAGCATATCCATCCAGTCTGTTCCTCTTTTCCCTGTTGTTCTGAAGGTATCCCCTTGCAGTGGTTTGTTTGCCTCCGGAACCAAATCAAATCCACGTGTTACCTTCTGGTGCTTCAGTTGTAAGCCTCTCCTGATCAAGACAACTTCTGATCCAATGCTGTATTAATGTTCTAGGCATGACCGGCTGCTTCGGATTAGAGCCCTCAGGTGGGGTTATGGCAGTGTCTTGCCAAGTGCTTTACAATTTCACATGTCTGCTGAAGACGTAAATTAGCACTCTTGTTCAAATTTGTAAATTCAGAATCTGGCTGAGCTTCTGGCTCAGCTTCTATAATAGTATTTATAGTACTTGTCTTTTTGTTTTAACCTTTGATTTTCAGTAGTTTTTGGTCTGAGAATGGTAGTAGTAATTCTAAATGCTGTATGGAAAACTACTATTAACAAAATAAAGGATCCTGTTATGTTAGTTGCTAGAGGTCCATCAGTAGGGTGCAAAACTAGCATCATTATTTTGAAATTTTTCATAAAATATGTGTGTGTACATACTTTGCTTGAGGCTTCCCAGGTGGCACTTGGGGTAAAGAACTTGCCTGCCAATGTAGGAGGCGTAAGTGATGCAAGTTCAATCCCTGGGTTGGGAAGATCCCCTGGAGGAGGGCTTGGCAACCCACTCCAGTATTCTTGCCTGGAGAATCCCATGGACGAGGACCCTGGTAGGCTACAGTCCATACAGTCACAGAGAGTTGGACACGACTGAAGAGACTCAGCAGGCACACACACACTTTGCTTATCTTTGTGAATATGTGTGATGAATTCTTGATTTGTCCAGTCACTGAGGCACAATATTTAAGGACATAGGATTGAAGGCAAGCAGACTCGTGTGGAAATATTGGCTCTGCTTCTGTGAGATCCTAGGCAGGACGCTCCATCTCTCCCTGTGCCTAAATTCCCTCATTTGCAAAGTGAAAGTCATAGCATCTGCTGCAGTGACTTCAGACACTAACTCCCTAGTTAGACCAAACCTCATAGGTTAAGACTGCCCTCACTTCAGACACCAGCCATGGTTTGGGGGTTCCCAGGGCCACTCTCCCTTCTGACCAGCTGGCTGCAAATTCAGAGGTTCCCACTCTCCCCTCAGGTTTGAGGCTTTTAGCCTCTTGACATCATTGCAGAGAGGAGAGGGGAGCCAGAAGTAGGGCTCCGTCACCTGTGATTCAGTCCGTCATAGTTTGATCCATCGATGCAGCCTGTGTCGTGACACTCCAGACTTGTGTGAGCTTCCCTGGTTGACACCACATCATGTACATTGTTCCACGGCAGTGTGCCGGGAGGGTGGTGTGTCCTGGTTCCTCGGGGAGAGGAAATCAATGCTTCACATCTGGGACCCTCCCAGACCTCACCCTGGGTGTCTCTTCCTTTGGCTGGTTCTCATTTGTATTCCTTTCACTACAGTACAACAGTGGACATCAGGACAGTGCTTTCCTGGGTCCCGTGAGTTGTTCTGGCCAAGTATTAAACCTGAGGGAGGGGTGTATGTGTGTATGCACGCACACACTTTACTAGTGAAGGTTATGAAGATGTTCTTCTGTACAGTCTTTTTGGAGTTAATCTTCTTTTGATTTTCACAAAGATATCCATGGTACTGGAATAGATTTTTGTGAATAATGTATGAGCCAAGTTGCATGTCTGTGGTTGGCGAGGAGAGGGGGAGCTTTCTTTTGTCTTAGTCTGTCCTTGTACCGATTTCATACTGTTTAAATGATTATAATTTTGTAATACTTCTTAATTAAGTTTTCCCATTTTGTTCTTCTTTCTCAAGTGTCTTGACTATTTTTTGGCTTTTTGCATTTCCATGTAAATTTTAGCCTTATTTGTCAAGTTTGATATTTTTAAACAGTTGGAGTTTTGATTGAGAATGACTTGGATCTATAGATCAATTAACATCATTATAATACTGAATTGTCTAGTCCTTGAAAGTGGTGTATCATTCTGCATTATTAGGTACTAATGTGCAGAATTACCAATTCCTACTGTTCTAGGTACCAGTGCTTTGTTCATAATAGGCAATTGATAATATTTGTAGTTTGAATGAATGGTCATAGTAAAGATGCATGTGGGCATCTGTGCTGTTTTTGAAAGGCTTAGTGTACAGTTTCTGCAAGTTTATTTCCTTACAGCTTTGTCAAATGGCCATCTTTATATTTCCAGGTGGACTGGTTCAGTGGTTACAAAATGTCCCTTGCTACCATGAGGTCATTGGCAGGAGACCAAGGTTTGGACCTCACACAGGATGTGAAACCTCCAAAAAGCCTATATATAGAAGTAAGTATACCTTTAAAAAAATGGGTGTTTCTTTAATGCTTAGAGTGTGCTTATTTTTGTCCAAAGGAGGGGGTATATGAATATATACTAGTGTATATAGGCATATAACTTGGAGACACCATAGGTTTGGTTTCTGACTCACAATAAAGCGAATATTCACTAAAACATGTCACACAAATCTTTTGGTTTCCCCGCACATGTAAAACATGCTTACACTCATCTGTTGAGTATGTCTTAGCATTATATACATATTTTATTGCTAAAAAATTCTGCTCTCTGACAATGCAGAGTTGACACAAATCTTTAGTTTGTAAAAAAAAAAAAAGGAAATCAATATTAGAGAAGCACAGTAAAGCAAAGCACAAACAAGAGAGGAAACATAAACCCAAGCCAAAACGTTTGCCTGTAGTGGGAATAGGATTGAACAATTAAAAATTTCTGGCTGTACCTGTTTTTAAAGTTTTAACTTTAGAACCATGTAAGTATTTTGCACATTGTTAAAAGAAAATGAAATCAAAGTGAAAAACCAACCCAAAACTCTCTTTGGCATCTCCTTCAGTTTCCTTGCTGTCCGTGCTGACCTACACATATGTTCAGAGATTTGCCATTTTTCTTCCTCCCCATCAGAAGTGGACAGTTTGAACTTCTAGAATGCCTCAGGAAAGAATGCTAAGCCTAACTACACAGAGAGGACACAAACAGAGCCTAACGCTTACCTGTAGGTGCATGTACAGTGCCCAGCTACTGCATGGTTACTCCATAATAAAAAATAATGTAGATATTGTAAAACATTAGTTTTTCTTTTCAGGTGCGGTGTCTAAAAGACTACGGAGAATTTGAAGTTGAAGATGGCACTTCAGTGCTATTAAAAAAAAACATAGCCAGGGATTTACTGTCTTAGGATACTTTAAATTTTTAAAAGTGTCAAATGATGGAAATGTTGGAATCAGTAGTAAACTAAATACCACCTTGCGATGATCATTTGTGTCATAGACATTAAGTTTATCATAAAATATCCTTTTATCCTTTTTCTAAAAACTTGAAGCAGAAAGGGACAGTACAGTTGACCCTTGAACATCATGTAGGGATAATGGGTGTAGTCAGACTCCCCACTCCCCACAGGCTGTAGACACACAGGCTTCCATTGTGGCAGCACGCAGACTTGGTAGTTGTGGAGTGTGGGCTCTGTGGCATGTGGATTCTAGAGTTTGTGGGCAGAAGCCTTCCTCTTGATGAGATTTTGTCTCTCAGTATCAGTCTGTAAAACTGGGGTAACTTAAAAGCATCATCTCCTGTAGTGGACATTAAGGGCCCCTAACATGTCTTAGCACATCTGAAATAAGTTCTCTATAAAATCTGTGTAATAGATTGCCCACATAATGTGAAATATTAATAGGGAAACATTTTTCTACCATACAGTCCTTTATTGTTGACTCTATGGGGCATGTTTCTCATTGCCCAGAAATGAGAACAAATGTCTTTAGTAGACATTGGAATAACTGTTCAGTGAACAACTCCATCGTTTTTCTTTCTTTCTTTTTCTTTTTTGCATTTCGGAGTTGTAAGACTTAAAAATTCAGTTAAGTTAGACATCAGCCGTTGGCCCATGGGTCTTCATGACTGGTTGGCAGGAGTTTCTTTGGCTTTGGGTCCCACGCGAGGCCTTTGAGCTTGTAGAGAACCGTCAGGTGCATGATGCTGCTGAAACAGCGTCCGCTTCCTTGAGTACTTGCTGTGCTCGCTCCTTCAGTTCCTTTCTAGAGTTCTCTACGCTGTGCTTTCTAATGCACTGTTTTTCATTTTTCCTCACGTATCTATATCTGTCTAGTCTTTGAGATTCCTTTGGTCACCTGTGAGCTTGAAAAGTCTTTATTTTGAAATATATATATGAATATATATATATATACATATATATATATATATGAAAAGTCATGTATTTTGCCTCTGTTTTCAGGGTCTAGAACAGGCACATACATTTTCTATTTATCTGTTCCTTTTAACACTCCATAGTAGATACTTCTTAATTCTGTACACCGGGTTTTGTTTTCCTTTTTTTTCAGTTGTGGTTAATTTGGTTAGTTGAGATGCAGGTTCAATTCCTGGGTCAGGAAGAGTCCCTGGAAAAGGAAATGGTAACCCACCCTAGTTTTCTTGCCTGGAAAATTCCATGGTCAGAGGAGCCTGGCAGGCTATACAGTCCACAGGGACGGAAAGATTCGGACATGTCTGAGTGACTGAGCACACATATTGTCGAGTGTATCTGTGTATTCAAAACATTCATAATGTCATATAGTCATCACCACCACCACCTTCTCCAGAGCTCTTTATCTTACAAAACTGAAACACCATACCCAGTAAACAATTGCAGATCTGATTGGAAAGGGTGATACTTATCTGATATCTAAAGAGACATATATTTTGTAGGGGAAAACCAAAAATTTTCCCCTCGATTTTCTTTTGGACACTGGGCAACTTTCTCTGTGCTCGCTGAAGCCTCTTGTTCACTTTCCTCCTGATTCACTACTGTAATGGGACTGTCAGGATGAGCCAAAAGCTGTTATTTCAGTCATCCTTTAAGCTGCAACTGGGGCTCCATGCTGTTTTCTCATGAGGCTCTGATCGAGCTGGAGTCTCCCTCACCCGTTCTGCCATGTAGGGGTGTAAATATTGTAATTATTTTTTTCTTATACATAGTTAATGGGAAATGTGAATGCATGAGCGGTCATAGTGAAAAATATCTTTCTTCCTCATTTATTCATCATATTCCATAACTTGAAAAATAATCTCTAAAGGTCTATGTATTTCTTTTTATGTCTGGCTATATCCTTCTTCTACTGCCTCCATCCCTATGGAACAATCCGCCTACACCTGACACTATTCTCAGAAAACGTGTAGTTCATCTGCTTCTCAAGCGTTGGTAGTGGTTAAGGCTCAGAAACCCACTCAGGCAGTCACGTCGGTGTAGCGGTCACTTGGTGGGTGACTAAAGTTTCTCTGTCACTGACTTTGTCACCAATTTATCTTTTGCCCTCAGTAAAAGCTCCAAACACCCACATCAGTTTGGGTCCTGCCAAAGCAGTCGGCCTTATTTCCTTAGTCCCCTCCTCTGCCCTCAGCTCTGCATCTAACTAGCCAGGCTCTGTAGGATCCCACAGGTGTGCTCCTCACCTCCGGTCTCTGTGCGTGCTTCTCCCCTCCGTCTCCTGTCCTTCAGGTATCTGCTTCCATGGCACCTCTGCAAGAAAGCTGGCAGTATTGTCACAATGTTGGCTGTCCTTTCTGAGTGTTTCATGCGCCATCTTTTATATCTGTTTTGTATTTATGAGTCTGCATGGAAGTTGCCTGTTTGTCTGTTTTTCCAGTTGAGGGCATATCATTTTCCAGGGTGGACCTGGGTCACCTTCATCTTGTAACTGCAGTCCTTGTCTCAGCACCTTTGCACACAGTTACTGAGTAAATGGATGAAGAATGAAAAAACCAGAAACTCTGATACTCAGCCACACGTGCAACCATGAGCAGATTATAAAATTGTAATCTTGTATCTCATGCCATGCCATCTACAGATATATTTCATTTTTCAGAACAATAGGAAAGGCCTCAGGTTTTTTGGTTTTCTTGTTTGTTTGTTGTAAATAATACTTAGTTAACTCAGGTATTTTAAGTAAAGAATATAATCCTTTCCTTTTCTTTCCAGTTGATGCTGAATTTGCATCTGATACCTTTAGAGTGTCTCCTCGAGGATCTGCAGATGGGTCAAATGTGTATGATGACCAAATTTTGAAAACAAAAGCACAATATAAGCAGATTTTGAAGGAAAAATATATGATTTAGAAAGATAAGCAGTTGTCACCAAAACCACAGGAGAGCTTTTCAAGGCTTGAGGTGATGTCTGCTGAAAGGGTCACAGCTGAGGGGAAAAATGTCCATCAGATTTGTCAACGTGAAGGTCACTGGCGGCCTCAGCAGGAGCACTCGATGATGTCTGAAGATACACAGGGTTGAAGAGCTAGAGGTGAGAAAGACAGAATTAACACCTTTAAAAGGTGAGGGTTCCTGGGACTTCCCTGGTGGTCCAGTGGTTAAGACTCTGAGCTTCCACTGCAAGGGGCAATCTGGGGGGGCTGGAAAAAAAGATGAGGGTTTCCATCCCTCCTATCTATATGCAACAGAAACTAACTTTTGATTTTCAAAATAAAGTAAAATTTGCATGTGTGATAAAATTCAAGTAAGCCTTTTCTAAATTATCTTAAGCACAACAACATTAATTTATTGCCACTTTTCATTGAAATGACCTTTCCTATTCCTATTCTTCTTGGCTGGCTCTTGAAGTGCATCCCTGGTTTGTCTGTTAGGTAACTTAGCAGGGTCCGGAGACACACAAGAGGGGAGAACTGGGGGCAGGGTGCCTGAAGAAGGGAGATTTGTGCTTTTTCACTTATTTATTTATTTTTAATGAGGAAGGTTTTTCAAGTTTATAGGCTACAGATAGAGACCCAAAGACTTGGAGGCTAAAAATGAAAGTGATAAGGACTAATCAACGAAACAACAGGGAGGAAGATGGAGGTATCCAGAGCACAGGGGGAGCAGCTGAGGGTGTGGAGTGACCTCCCGTGTGCTGCAGAGACAGAGGTGCCCCCTCTGAATGCAGAGGCTGCCGCAGTGTGGGACGGTGGAGCATGAGGTCTGAAGGAGGGGACAGGCATTGACTGTGGGCAGGGCAGGAGCGAAGGATGGATAAGAGGAGGGAAAAGAGACAGGGGGAAGCTGGCGCCTTTGTGTTGGAACCTGAGGCCCCTGTTTCAAGCAGCTGGGGGTGAAATTAGATACAGCCTCTCCCTCAGCACTTTAACACAGGACTGAGTGGAGGAGGGACCACCAACTTGGGGGGATCCTGCTGAGCCTCGCCTGGCCAAGGCCCCTCCCAGAAAGCTCCCACCACCTGCTCAGGGCCCCCACCCCACGCTGCTAAGATGCCCCCATCTGCCAGCCACCCGCAAGGATGGGAGGACTGGAATGTTGAAATGGTTCCTACCCAGGCCTGTCTCAGCCTCTGAACTTCCGGCACCAGCCTGTGGTGGCTCTGGCTTCCGGTGCGAGGAAAGGCATAAATCTCTGCTGAAGGTGGGGGCTGACCCCTGGTGGCAGGCGAAGGCGTGCAGAAGGCACAGTTGGCTCCAGGAAGTATAGACATAAGGGCAGAGGTGGCAATTGTGTTGGAAAGAGGAGCAGGCCAGGGCACACTCCTTTTATTCAGATTAAGTGTTTCCTAGATGGCCTGGGTGAGAATGAGGAAGTATATGGAGTGGCCAAAGCCCTGCACAAGGCTCCCTTTGGTGCCACCCTGGAGAGAACAATTTCCAGAATCCTGGGTTCTGGCCCTAGAGAGACATGCTGGCAGAGCAGGGGTTAATGCCTCCTGGTCTGCCCTCCTGTGAGACCAGAATGTTCCACTCCAGGCTGAGGCAGGAGGCTTGGGGGGAAACTGCCTATCACCCAATGAATCAGCCATCACATTGAATTCAGCACCTTCAAAGCCTGAGATCAAGGCCAAGGCTGGGGCTGCAGAGAGTAGTGAGGAGAGAGGGGGAAGGAGGTTGCTGAGAGAAGCCTAGTTCTCTCTGCCTGAGTGACAGGAAGGGTGATGCTGATGACTGGGGTGGGTTGATGACATGCTTGGCACTCTCTGGAATGAGAAGCTAAGGGAAGGGCTTGGCCTGTCCTTCTGTGTCCCCATGGGGATGAGAGATCATTGATTCGCAAGGCCAAGCCCCCGGGGTCTCAGGCTGCACTTCCAGGGTGCACAGACAGCCCCCTCTCCTGCTCCCCTTCAGCAGGAGCACTCGATGATGTCTGAAGATACACAGGGTTGAAGAGCTAGAGGTGAGAAAGACAGAATTAACACCTTTAAAAGGTGAGGGTTCCTGGGACTTCCCTGGTGGTCCAGTGGTTAAGACTCTGAGCTTGCACTGCAAGGGGCAATCTGGGGGGGCTGGAAAAAAAGATGAGGGTTTCCATCCCTCCTATCTATATGCAACAGAAACTAACTTTTGATTTTCAAAATAAAGTAAAATTTGCATGTGTGATAAAATTCAAGTAAGCCTTTTCTAAATTATCTTAAGCACAACAACATTAATTTATTGCCACTTTTCATTGAAATGACCTTTCCTATTCCTATTCTTCTTGGCTGGCTCTTGAAGTGCATCCCTGGTTTGTCTGTTAGGTAACTTAGCAGGGTCCGGAGACACACAAGAGGGGAGAACTGGGGGCAGGGTGCCTGAAGAAGGGAGATTTGTGCTTTTTCACTTATTTATTTATTTTTAATGAGGAAGGTTTTTCAAGTTTATAGGCTACAGATAGAGACCCAAAGACTTGGAGGCTAAAAATGAAAGTGATAAGGACTAATCAACGAAACAACAGGGAGGAAGATGGAGGTATCCAGAGCACAGGGGGAGCAGCTGAGGGTGTGGAGTGACCTCCCGTGTGCTGCAGAGACAGAGGTGCCCCCTCTGAATGCAGAGGCTGCCGCAGTGTGGGACGGTGGAGCATGAGGTCTGAAGGAGGGGACAGGCATTGACTGTGGGCAGGGCAGGAGCGAAGGATGGATAAGAGGAGGGAAAAGAGACAGGGGGAAGCTGGCGCCTTTGTGTTGGAACCTGAGGCCCCTGTTTCAAGCAGCTGGGGGTGAAATTAGATACAGCCTCTCCCTCAGCACTTTAACACAGGACTGAGTGGAGGAGGGACCACCAACTTGGGGGGATCCTGCTGAGCCTCGCCTGGCCAAGGCCCCTCCCAGAAAGCTCCCACCACCTGCTCAGGGCCCCCACCCCACGCTGCTAAGATGCCCCCATCTGCCAGCCACCCGCAAGGATGGGAGGACTGGAATGTTGAAATGGTTCCTACCCAGGCCTGTCTCAGCCTCTGAACTTCCGGCACCAGCCTGTGGTGGCTCTGGCTTCCGGTGCGAGGAAAGGCATAAATCTCTGCTGAAGGTGGGGGCTGACCCCTGGTGGCAGGCGAAGGCGTGCAGAAGGCACAGTTGGCTCCAGGAAGTATAGACATAAGGGCAGAGGTGGCAATTGTGTTGGAAAGAGGAGCAGGCCAGGGCACACTCCTTTTATTCAGATTAAGTGTTTCCTAGATGGCCTGGGTGAGAATGAGGAAGTATATGGAGTGGCCAAAGCCCTGCACAAGGCTCCCTTTGGTGCCACCCTGGAGAGAACAATTTCCAGAATCCTGGGTTCTGGCCCTAGAGAGACATGCTGGCAGAGCAGGGGTTAATGCCTCCTGGTCTGCCCTCCTGTGAGACCAGAATGTTCCACTCCAGGCTGAGGCAGGAGGCTTGGGGGGAAACTGCCTATCACCCAATGAATCAGCCATCACATTGAATTCAGCACCTTCAAAGCCTGAGATCAAGGCCAAGGCTGGGGCTGCAGAGAGTAGTGAGGAGAGAGGGGGAAGGAGGTTGCTGAGAGAAGCCTAGTTCTCTCTGCCTGAGTGACAGGAAGGGTGATGCTGATGACTGGGGTGGGTTGATGACATGCTTGGCACTCTCTGGAATGAGAAGCTAAGGGAAGGGCTTGGCCTGTCCTTCTGTGTCCCCATGGGGATGAGAGATCATTGATTCGCAAGGCCAAGCCCCCGGGGTCTCAGGCTGCACTTCCAGGGTGCACAGACAGCCCCCTCTCCTGCTCCCCCTGCCTCACTGCCCTCCTCCACCCCTGACCTCGTCCCAGCTCTCCCCCACCCCCCCAGTGAGGTCAGGTTGGTGCTGAGTCACTTCCAGGGTGCACAGACAGCCCCCTCTTCTGCTTGCCCCACCTCGCTGCCCTCCTCCACCCCTGACCTCATCCCAGCTCTCCCCCATCCCCCCCCCAGTGAGGTCAGGTTGGTGCTGAGTCACTTCCAGGGCTCTGCCCTACTCAGTGCACCAAGCTCCAACCGCTGTCAGAGCTGGTGGCCCCTTCCCAGCCACACGGAAATCAGCTCCCCAGGAAGCTGGGCACCCTTTCTCCAATACAAGGGGCTAGCCTATCCCACTTGCCTGAAACTGGAGCCAGTTCTGTGGTGCCATCATGCTCTGATGCTCGCCTGAGAACCAAGCTGAGGACAGTCTCCAGATAAGAACACTTCCAAATCCATGTTTAACTTTCTTCCTCTTGTCTTGTCTAGTTTCCCTCACTCATCTTCTCCCAAGAGAACTTCTTAAATAAATATAGTAAATAAATAATCTCTTAATTAAGATTGATTCATCAATCTTAATTTAATTAATTAATGTCTTGACTAATTTAAATTAAGATTTAAAATAAATCTCTTAAATAAGAATCTTAAGTAAGAACCTCTAGAGCTTCCCTGGTGATCCAGTGGTTAAAAATCCATCTTGCAAAGCAAGGAACACCTCTTCAATCCCTGGTCCTGGAAGATTCCATATGCCTTGGGGCCACAACTATTGAGCCTATTCTCTGAAACCTGCAAGCCACGCCAACTGAGCCCACGCGCAGCAACAACTGATGCCCATGCACCCTAGAACCTATTCTCCACAACAAGAGAAGCCACCGCAATGATAAGCCTGCACACTGCAACTAGGGAGTAGCCCCCACTCTCTGCGACTATAGAAAGCCCACACATAGCAACAAAGACCCAGCACAGCAAAAAATAGTAATAAAAAATATTTTTAAAAATCTCCACTGCAGATGCTGTTCCAGGGACCCCATCCTATGAAAGCCTCTAGTTATTCATAATTAGCATCAACCACGATTTATTGCTTCTAAAAATTCAGCTTTATCCAGTACCTGAGTGAGTGAGTGGAAGTCACTCAGTTGGGTATGACTCTTTGTGACCCCATGGACTGTATAGTCCATGGAATTCTCTAGGCCAGAATACTGGAGTGGGTAGCCTTTGCCTTCTCCAGGGACTCTTCCCAACCCAGGTTTCCCACATTGCAAGTGGATTCTTTAACAGCTGGGCCACAAGGGAAGCTCAAGAATACTGGAATGGGTAGTCTATTCCTTCTCCAGCGGATCTTCCCCACCCAGGAATCAAACCAGGGTCTCCTACATGGCAGGTGGATTCTTTACCAACAGAGCTATCAGGGAAGCCCACATAGTATCTAGCACCTTGTAATAACATCCCTTTCTTTTTAAACTGAGTATTAGATTATATAGTTTTCACAAAGCACTTTCACTGATACAGTGATTCACACCAAAATAGTTGCAGCAAAAAACACTCAAGGGAGTGCGAGTCTGGCATCCTTAGGGGTGAGACTGGTCATCCTCTCTGGTTGAGTTTGAAGGCAGTGAAGATCCTATTGTAGTAAAGGATGATACATGGTGAGGACTATTCATTTCTTGATTTTATTTTTTAAAATAATATAATGAGAACCCATGAGTTTGCTACTCATACCAGGAGCTAAACTATTATCAGTAACTTAGGTCTACCATGCACTCCTCTCCCATCCAATACTTGCCTCCCCCAAGAGGTCACAAATATCTGGGTGTTTTATCACATATGTTGATGCCTAAATAAGGTATTGTTTTATTTGCTTTTGATCTTAGTGAAAAGAGTAGTCTTTTGACACTTGCTTTTCCACTCAAAATTATAATTATGAAGATTAGCCATGTTGTGGCACAAAAAGGAATATCATTTTCATTTTTACTGCTGTGTATTCCACGTGTGAATACACCACA